AAAGTGATTAATCCAAATATTTCCATCTTGGATCGCCAATTCATCCTGCTGGGTTTTGTTTAGGTTGTTCCATTTCTCCCAGAAGTGGTTGGATTCGAGGGATTCCTCAATTTCACAGAGCTGGTTCTTGCTGTGTTGTTCTTTCTTTGTTTTTAGGGTGTACTTGTATTGTTTCAGAGTGGCCTCATATTGACAGCGTATGTTGTGGTTATCTGGGTCTCTATGCTTTTCATTTGATAATTTCCTTAAAGTTTTCCTTAGGTTTTTGCATTCAGTGTCAAACCATTTGTTATTGTTCATTTGTTTAGATTTTGGTTTGGAGGCTTTCAAATTAGACAATAGAGCCAAATGAGGAAAAATTGAATGGATTTTGTCCACAGCAGAATTTACACCAGAATTATTATGGGGAAATGTTTCAGTTAGAAATAAATGAGTTCAATCATATATGTTTTGATTTTTCCAGTGCCTTTAGGTACGCCCCCATGCTGTCAGGGGTCCATCTGTATGAGTATGTGCTGTTAAACAGTTCACAGGCACTAGGGGCTCCAGAGTTAGACTGGGCCCTTTTCAGATAGATTGTGATTTTGCTGTGGTCTGAGAGGGGTGTGAGGGGGCTGACTGTGAAAGCTCTGAGAGACATTGGATCTAGATCTGTAATGAAATAATCTACCGTACTACTGCCAAGAGCTGAGCTGTAAGTGTAGCGACCCAGAGAGTCCCCTCGTAGCCTGCCATTGACTATGTACAGACCCAGTGTACGGCAGAGCTGTAAAAGCTGCATACCGCTTGTATTAGTAAGCTTGTCAAAGCTCTTTCTAGTAGGACATTCAGGGAGGGGGAAGCAGGTGCTTCCAGGTAAGTGTTTGTCTCCCTGGGTGTTCATAGTGTCAGCTCTTTCCCCTGTTCGAGCGTTCAAGTCCCCACAGAGTAATACATTTCCCATGGTTTTATAATGGTTAATTTCCTCAAGTAAATATATAAAAAAAGAAAATATCTGGGTTGTAGTAGGGGGATTCTGATGGAGGTATATAGATGGCACACATGTAGACATGTTGCTCAGCACAAATAATCTTTTCGTTAATTTTCAACCATATATAAGATTCTTCTTTTTTAATAACTGTGATGGACTGGCTCAGTTCTGATTTACACCATATAATCATGCCTCCTGAATCTCTGCCTTGGGTTACTGTGGGATGTTTTGTTGATGGTATAATAATCTCAGTGTAGCCGTGAGGACGACCAGTGGAAACATCTTCTCTGCACCATGTCTCCTGTAAAACTATGATGTCAGAGTCTTTTAACTCTCTATTAAAATCTGAATTTCTGCTCTTTAAACCAAAAGCTGATGATCTCAGACCTTGAATGTTCCAACATGTTATTGTAAACGATTTCATCTCTAAGTGCGATCCATTCAAAAATTAGACAAACACCTTAAAAGAAAAATAATAATAATAAACTATTAAATTTAATTTAAAAAAATAATAAGACGAAAAGAGGTAAAGTAATAAAATATTAAACTTTGACATTTTAGAGTGTATCATGTGTGAAATCCTGTTAAGAATTGTCCTTATATTACTATTCATTTAAAATGATATACAACATGTTAAACTATTAATTATTGTGGTGTCTCTGCTCTTCCACCATGTAGCTACATGAGGCGAGAGCAGAGCAGGTTTAGCATGTGTAATATTTCTATGAGTTCACCAGAGGGGGGGGCTGTGGTTCTTCTCACCGCTGCAGCATAGTTCAGCCCAATAGGCTGCTGCTCCTGTAGTCTTGCTTCTGCTGTTGGGAGGAGGGGGGGTATAGGACCTCTCCTCAGAGAGTCGCCAGTCTGTCCTGTTGGGACCTTAAGTCGTTGGTGCCTGTATGGATGATGATGTGGCTAGGTGAGCCTAGCTCAGGCACTGTTAACAGCTCCAGGGCTCTCCTGGTGTTGGGGCACCAGATCTTCTCTGTTCTGTGTCTTGGAAATAAGGTCTTTTCATCCAGGAACTTTCTATTAGAGTCCATAAGGAGGATGTGTCTGTGTGTGCCTGTGTGTGTTTGTTCAGTTTCAGCTGTTGGGTCTGGATGTGGAGCTGTGGTGGTGGTTTCAGGTCTGGAGCTCCTAGTTGGAGGCTGGCTAGAGGACGGGCTTTGGAAAGGTGCAGGGGTGTGACTGGCGTCTTGGCTTGGGATGTGTGTATGGAGGAAGCTGGTTGATACAGGGGGGGGATTAGAGTCTGCACCAGGCTGGGTGAGAGGGGGTGAGTCCGCGAGGAAAGGGCCCTGTTGTACTTCAGCAGGTGTAGTGGGAGTTTGGCTGGATGTGGTCTGGGTCTGAAAGGTGAGCACAGGGGGTTGTGTGGAGTTCAGTCTGGCTTGTAGACTGAGCCCTGTTCTGTCCCTCTCATGTAGCTCTTCTCTCAGAGTAGCCAACTCAGTTCTGCAGTTGTCTCTGTCCTTCCTAAGTTCCTTCACCTCCTCACTGAGATGGTCCAGCTGTCTTCTCTGACGAGCTAGTTCTTGTTGAAACTCTCTCAGCTGTGAGTTGACATTGTTCTGTTCTTTCTTGGCCTGGAAGTCACTGACAGTAAGTAGGCTGCTGTTGGTCCAGCTGCTCTCTGATCTGAACCAGTTCTATTTCCATCTGGGAGAAGTGTTCTCTCATGATTTCCAGGGCCTCAGAGTGCTGTAGCAGGGGAAGATCAGTGTCAGCATCTGCAGGCTGTCTGTCTGGAGCAGGGACAGAACAGGGGGGTTTGGCTCCCAGGACTGGAGCGATGCTTGTGAGGATCTCCTTTTCCTTCTCAGCACTCAGTCTCAAAGCAGGAAAGTCGAGTTCAAACTGTCACAGGTCGCCTTGTATCATGGCAGTTCCATTTTTGAACAGGTTTACTGTTATTCTGGTGGTGTCAGAGTCATTCTCTTCGAGTACACTTATTTTCCATCCATTACAAATACCTGTTCTCTTTATTGCTGGGTAATGAGAGCTGAACACATTCAGCCAGGCGACTGGTTCATCAGTCCAGAAGATTAAATTGCAGGACCTTCCATCTTTGTGATGGTCCAGCAATAGGATGTCTGGTCTTTCTCGAAATATTGTTTGTTTATATTTTCCTTTTGCAGTTTTGCTTTTGATAGCTGGGGGATGTTCAATGGCTTCAGAGTGTGTAGACATCATGATACAGCTGTTGATCTTCGAGGTTCTGTGTTTGTGTTTAAAACAGCACTACTGCTGTTATTGATGCCGTTGCTAGGTAACCACAGTCCAGTGTTAGCTTGTTAGCTATTAGCTTGAGTGTTTCAGTTGGGACTTGTTTTATAGTAACTTAATAAATGCAAAAACTTACTGATTTCAGTGTCCAGTAGTTTGCTGTTACTTGCTTTAGTCTCCCCTGTCCTCTTCTTTGTTTGTTTCTCTTCAGCTTGATGCTCTGTTTCTGAGCTCTGTTTTCTGAGCTCCTTCTTCCACCTGTATCTTTTTCCCTTCTTTCTTTCTCCTTCTTTCTCCTTCTTTTTCCTCTTTTTCTCTCTTCTGTGGTATTGTTGTCACTCCTTTTGCATTTTCCTCATAAAAAGTCGGTGTTTATCCAATTTTTGGACTGAAAACAAGCATTTTGTTTAGCAGCAAGCCATAAACATGACTTCTGTATACAAATACATTCTCTCTCTCTCTCTTTCTCTCTCTCTCTCTCTCTCTCTCTCTCTCTCTCTCTCACCCCAACTGGTCCAGACAGACGACCACCCACCTAGAGCCGAAGGATCTGTCCTAGGTTTCTGCCTTTTAACAGGCAGTTTTTCCTTGCCCTTGTCCCCAAGGTCTTGCTCATGGTGGTACTGTTGGGTCTCTGTAAATAATGTTATAAAGAGTTCGGTCTAGACCTGCTCTATTTGAAAAGTGTCCTGAGATAACTTCTGTTATGAATTGGCGCTATACAAATAAAACTGAATTGAACAATGGTAAATGATGAATAATGATGATGCTTGCTTGTAATTTAGCTAACTGATTAATTTGATCAGGCCTGATTGATTCATATAATTGGGTATCATCTGCATAACAATGAAAGTTAATGGAGTGATTCCTAATAATGTTGCCTAAAGGAGGCATACTATACAGTGTAAAGTGAATAGAATTGATCCAAGAACAGAACTTTGTGGAACTCTGTGACTAACTTTAGTGTGCATGGAGGACACATCGTTAACATGTACAAACTGAGATCAATATGTAGGCTATGTGCTGCTGTTGTTTACCTGAATGTTTGTACATTACAAGATAAGATAAGATAAGATAGACTTTATTGATCTCACTGGGGAAATTCTCTCGCTACAGCAGCTCCAGATACAACACAACAGATAAGAAAATACACATTACATATATAATTTCTTTATGGAATAAATAAATAAACAATATAATAAAAAATAGAAAGAAACAGAATAAGAGTAACATGTACACTATATACAGCTTTTTATATACAGATGTGGTAGTGGCATTGTGTAGAAATAAATCTAATTGCACAGGATAAAATATATACAGCAGTGTAGTTTAGAGGAAGTATAGGCTATAGATATAGGGCTAATATTAGGTCTAATATTAATAATATGCACCTAAGGAATTGTGTGTATATATATACTCATACTCATACATATACTCATATGCACAGTACCAGGATTAAATTGTGCAAAAGGTGACTGTGTTGGCAGATCTTACAGAGACAAACAGTGCTGCATTATGTTGTTGCTGAGTTAAAGAGATAAGATAACCCTTTAACAATCCCCGAAGTAAAATGAAACACAGGAGGAGTACAGGTAGGCTAAAGGTACAAACCAAACCAGGATAAAAAGAATAAATAAAAATAAGATGAATTAAGATAAGCAGAACACTGGACAGCTGGCCCTAAAAATCTGCACTGGACTTTCCCGTTGTTAATAAATGTAATGACATGATACAGCTGAAGATGTCACAGTGCGCTGCCTCCTTCCTCTCATCCTCTCATCTGTGTCATAAATGGGCGGAGCTCCAGAGCGAGGAAGAGATGAGACTGAGAGCCCGTCACAAGGAAGCACAAACCAGATGAGTCCTCCAAACAGCCATTAATAAACACATTACAAAAACAGACCTGAGCCCTAACGGGACAGAGAGGTCGGATACTGGAATCAACCCAATTTCATCCTCACATCGGAGGAAGCAGCTCGCCTCCGCCCCCGCTGACCCACACAGTGAACAGTCCTCTGGCAGATGGAGAAACAGGCCGGAGGTGCCGGGGGGGCAGACGGAGCAGGCCCGAACAGAAAGCCCTGGGTCTCGCCGAACTGCGGACCAGCCGCGGGTGAAAGCCTGGAAAGGTGAGTTTGTATTGTGAGGATGTGTCAGACGTCGGCGTGAAACGTTGTTCATTTGGGGTTGGCTTTTTTTTTTTTTTTCACACTATGTAATTTCCTTTGAAATATTAAGCTACACATAACATTTCCTGAATTAAGACGACCATCTCTTTAATTCGGCGTAGATTCAATAAATAAAGCAGGACTTATTTCACTAAAACCTTAACTTTTAAAACTGCTTCCAGAGTATTGTCCGTATGAGTGAGGCGACATGATATTGGCAGCTTTCTGGCTGGAGTTCGGCGGGGCGGTACAGTACAGTATCTATGATACAGTAGCTAACGGTGAATATGCTATAAGCTTGTCTAAGAAAAATGATAGACTGCATGTGTTGTTGGACGGAACTATATGGTCCTCCACTGGGTTCACACACAGCTCATAGCAAGCGTTAGCTCCGTAAAACAGGCCTAGCTTTAAGCTAACAGTTGTACGTTACAGGAGCTACCGCTAATGCACGGCACAGTGAGCAGGGGCGGAGCAAATACATGTTGATGGGGTGTCCAGAGGGTGGCATGGAGACTTTAATGGGTGGCAATCACATAGGCCTGTATCAGTACTTGCTTGGTAAAGCCCCCAAATACAGATATTTTTATTTGGAAATATTATAATATTTATATTATAATCTTATATATTACATTGAATATAAATATCTACAGTGGTATTATATATCCAAATCTTTAGACATTTTTAATTTTTCATTGAATTTAAAGCTATAATATGTAACAATTCTGCATTAACTTGTCTATAAATGCATACAGCGTCAAATTTCTTGTTGCTGTGGATGATAAATAGATGCACAATAATGTTAATTGTATGTGCATTTTATTCAGGTAACGCTGCATTTCACCGGTCGCCTGTCAATGGCGTCATATCCCCTTATCTTAAGTTATCAGAGAAACAAGCTGAGCTAACGTTAGCAGCAGCTCGGCACACAGCCCCTCCGGGACGTCCTTTGTCAGCAGCGTGGGAGAAACAGTGATTTTTAAGGTGGAACTGCTTTATTCAGTGTTTTTAGCAGTTTTAGTTAGCCTGTCCATTTGTTTTGGAGAGGAGGAGACCTCTGTGGATAATTGGGCTTCCAGTAGAAACCTCCTGAACCATGAACACTGAAGGAATCCTAACTGGGAGAAGCTGACTGCAATGACGACAAAGGTGGTGTAAACAACAACTCCCATGATCCCACGCTACTTTACCACGTCATTAAAATTTAATCAAAATAATTGCATGCAATTTTACATAATTACATATTGTACATTTAAACCTACACATTTACTTATCTAAAATGTGTTTAATCACAGTTAAGCTGCCAATAATTAAACTTCTCGCAGATTTTTCACAACAAAAGCACACCAGAAAAGGGTGGGATATGCCCTGTCAGCCACTAAAAGGCTTTTATGGGCGACGTCTGTGCAGGAAGAGTTGATTTTCATTGAGTTAGTCAATTTTAGAAGCAATTTTAAAAAGATGCCAAAGTTAAAGGAATTGGGCAAAAGCATGTTGTTAGAGTTTTAGTGAACAGCTTTTCACTCGTCTTTTTGTGTTCAGTCCAACAGGTTCTCATGTAGAGTGGTGTAAACAGCTGATAGCAGCCACCATCTCCAGTCAGATCTCAGGAGTAGTCCCACCTGACATTGTCAACAGGGATAACAAGGTAGCTAACTCACTCACACACACACACACACACACACACACACACACACACACACCACTGATACTGCTGACAGTATTCTCATCAGTTTGTGTTTTGTAACTGATAGGCTATGAGAAGACCAGATTTCATGGTAAGACTGGCAGAAATGGTGACCTGTATGTGCTATATATGCACTCCAGTGTGTGGGCAGAGCTGTGTGCGTTACTATATGTGTGTGTGCACTGCACCACAGCTGTTGTCGTTGTTTAGATAAGCTACTGTTGAGCTGCTGTAAGGTTCCTCTTCTGCTTATGTCTGTCAGCCTGCTTCCCAAAGCTTCGCTGTCCTCAACCAAAGACAGTATGAAAACCCAACTTGTCCTCCAACTAGTCTATTGGTTTGATGTAGTAGGTAGAAGTTTAACGTTATGTGTATTCATTCTGATCCCTCTTGTAGAGGACATCCAGTTCAGTAAGCAACATTGTTTGGTTTAGTACACAAACATAAAACTACAGAATATCCCCCTCATTTTCATTTTATCAGAGCTGCTGAATTTCAGGTGCACCAGTGCGACCTCTGAAAATGACCAGTGGTTGCACCCTTGAGCCCTGGCAGTATATAGATAATAAATCCCAGAATCATGGCTAAAGGGTTTTGTTTTATTCGTCCAGGTTTGGAGATATGTGTTCAATCCAGTACAATGGAGGAGAATGGTAGTACTGTCCCTGACTAAAGATTTTCCTAGTGGATTTGTAGATAAAGCCAGTAGTTGACTAGTAGTTGCACGTCAACAGCTGCCTGTTAAATGCTAACGGAAAACATTCAGTACATTTATTTCATTTAAGTCTTCAAAATACGGAATAAATAACTTCCAACTTCACAAAAACAAATATTGGCAGACTAATTGGTATGATGGATGATGGCTAATATTACCAGTTACTTACAAATTAACTCGCTACAAACCTCTTCCAACGTTTCATGTCTCTCCTGTTGCTGCCTGAACCCGCTGTGTCTTCATCCCTGGAGTCAGAGCTCTGGTCGGAGCTGCTGGAAATCAAATCGGCCTCTGTTAAGGCTGTGAGCCTATTTCAGTGGCAGTCCAGATCCTTGGCAGTATCTCCTGCTTGGTCCCCCCGTTCCTATGCTACAGACAGCTAATAGGACCATTAACTAGCTAGTTGCAGCAGCTAGTACAGCTAGCATATGCAACAGTAGTCCAGTAAGTGACTCCCTGTGTTAGAAGAGAAAAGGTCTGTGTTGCAACAATCCTCTGATACTTTAGTCCCAGTGACAAGGTGCAGCTCTTGGATGGAGTTTAATTTTGGTTTTGCTTTTCCTTTGACTATCAGACTGATGAAAAGTGTGTCACCTATTAGGGGGCAGCCCTAGTGTATGGAATATAATCTGTGGTGTTTACACAGTTACCTTTAAAACAAATCATTACTAGGGCTGTCAAACGATTAAAATATTAAATCGCGATTAATCGTATTAATGTCATAGTTAACTCGCAATTAATCGCACATTTTTATCTTTTCTAAATGTCCCTTCTTTTTGTCCCATTATTCTTTCTCATTTTAATGCTCTTATCAACATGGAAAAGTGGATCGGCTTGCTTTGTGCAAATGTTGTTTTTATTGAAAACAACATTGGCATATACTGTAGTGTTCAGTTTCACACTAACATTCTCACTTGGAGCAAATAATCTCTCACACAATGTAACACTGTCCATCAATAAAAGGGTGAAAACACACAAACAGCCCCTTCAACAGCCCTTTCTAAGGGATCAAAACAGGGTGTCTCGCGCTCGCCATCCACTCAAAACGTAACGTCTACTACTCTTAAACAAGTGTGTGCGGCGTGCCTGTTGTTTTGTTTCCGGTCTAGCTAGATCCGGTGTGGTGTTGTAGTTTTTCTAACGTTACTAGTAAAAACTACAAAGTGTGCTAGGCCAAAAAGAACCTTAATCTCGCGATAAAAAAATTTACGCCGTTAAAATGGGTTTGCGTTAACGCCGTTAATAACGGTAGCAGGTACCCTGTAACAGGTAGTTACAGGTAACAGGTACCCTGTGGAATGACACACAGCTGTTGAATATGAATAAGGATTTTTTCAGTACTATGAGCACCACAAATTCAGTTGGATTCACCTTCATTGTATTAGGGTGGAATAAGGTATGATTCTGCTTAGTGCTGCCCCTCAGAGTTATAGAGCACTGCTGTGGAATGAAGGGATGTTATAGGAAGCTTTTCTGTTTCTTGTGTTTGAATGTGCATTCACAAATGTATTTGCTTAGCTGTTCTGCAGCTCTTGTCTTTTATTGTAGCAGGTTTCAGTTGTACCAGAATTGTTTTTTGAAGTTGCAGCGCATTTCTCTAATTGCTTTGAGCTCTGTGTGTTTGCACCCATCTGTCACTAAACACAGAAGTAAGTATTGTATAAGTAACCTTCAGTAAAAGTCAGTCCCTCCAGGAAGAAAGAACACTGTGAATTCTGCACGACCTTGCAATTTCGTCCAGTCAACTTTTCTATTACCAATTGTTGTTTCCCACGAGTTTTATCAACAGTTACCGTGCAAAACGTTAAGCCATCCTTCAGAAAACATTCAGTATGATTCGATTTATTTTGATTTGTGTGGTCGTGACTCGATTCAAAACTATTCCCGATTCAGTACACAGAAGGCTAATTTCAAGATCTACTCCAGTCCACTGTGCGCCCAAACGCTCACTGGATGAATTTCTTGCTGCTCCATTTTAGCAAGGCTACCGACTACTAGAACTAACATTAGCAGCGACCGACTAGCAAGTAGCTATGCTTGCTCCATTGTGTTTTATGGAACCAAGAAAGGGTGTGCAGCAAGTCAAAATTTCCAGCAGCAAAAATTTTTAATTATACTTACAGCTGCAGTAGGTAGTAGGTTTATAAAAAAAACTTTTTGTTATATTTGCTGAAACTTTGACTATATCCTGAAAGTAGTACTTGATAAGGTGAAGATCTTGAAGATAGTTGATTGTTAAGTTTCATTCCCAGGGTCCCAAAGTGTCTGTATTTGACACCCTAGGAATGAGACTCAAAAATCAAATATCATTCTTGGCTCTGGTTGGTTGTTTTCATTTAGGCCCAGATAATTCACAAATGCCATTAGGAGCACTATAAGGAGCCAGAGGAACCAGATTTTTTTTTCAGATTATCCGTCTCATGTACTACTGTCACGATAAAGTTTTAGCAAATATGACAAACAATTATTTTTACCTACTTGCGGCTTTAAAGAACTTTTTATTTTTTCGAAGTTGTGAATCTGTTCAGAATTGTAAAAGATAAGAATCGTGAATCTTACATGAATCAAAAATGTTTTCCCCTACAATTATTAATTATACAAGAAAAAAAAAAGTTTTTACTTCGTCTTGCAATTTAATTTTAAAATAATTCCTAAAAACATTGCAATGTGCATCGCAAGATTTTAGATAAGCTGCCCTGAAATCAGGCATTTTAGACCAAAACAATCCTAAAAAAGCCTGCAAAATCCTGGAGAGACTGAAAAGGAACCTTCATTTTGATATCAAACAGTAAACAGTTGTTTCCATTGATGTCAACTACATCTGTTTTGCATGTGTGTGTACTCGTGTGTTAAACCTCCAGGTGTCCAAGAGGCTGAATCCCAGGGTAAGAGCTGTAGTTTTTATCAGCCTGTCTTCTGAATGTTATAGATTTAAGACACACATACACATCTGTGTTTGTGCTCTGAGTTCAGTTTTTCAGATTGTTGCTTTGCTGAAGGCTGAAGCTGCCTTCTGACTATTTCCAGTCTGCTTGTAAACACACTTGGACAGCAGTGTCAGGTTTTTGGCTAATCTGGAAAATGAAGTACCACCTGACACCTCAGCTTCACTGCACTGATGCAAAGTTACTATTGAAGTCCAATAGAGCCATAGAGCACGTCATGAGTAGGTGAAAGTGAAACATTAAACACTTCTAGAATGTGCACAGTATTTCATGTAAACAGGATGTGATCGTGTGCCTGAGGTGCATGAAAATGACTAGATTGGTTAGATTGTCAGTAATGTCTGAGATGAACTGTCACACTACTTCCTCCATCAGTGTGCTTCCTTCTTTTTTTCTTTCACTGTACCTTTCTTCAGGTTTTTTTGTTCTTTGCCCCTGCACTCTCTCTGTCCCTCTTTCACCAAGGCAAGGAGTTCAAAATCAGCCCTGTTAGTGTAAATTAGCACTACAATGTCAATATCATGACAAAACTCACAAGTTCAGTGTTAATGTAAAACTCAGATAGGATGGATGTGGTCAGCAGTGGGAGGATCTTTAACTCTCCCCTGGGAGGGCTTGGTCACACATGCAAAATTAACATTGGCGAATATACTCAGCAGCAGATTTGGTTCTTAGCACCACTGTCACTCACCTGCATTTACATATTTGTCAGCGTCATAAAAGGAAAATGCTAGATGCCACTAAATCCTACATACTGGTCCTTTAAATGTACAACGTACTACAAGGAGTTTTAACTGGTTATGAAACAGTCTCAGTTTAATACTGATGCCCCTATATGACCTACAAAAACAAACAAGACCATCAGAGAGAAGGTTGGATATTTTTATATAGTTATTCTTTTTTTTTTGTCATTAAAGTTTTTATTTATTCATACACACATAAACATACAATCAAACTCAAAAACAAACACTGACCCCAACATCAACAGACAGTATATCCAGCATACAACCCCATATACAAAGGCCTCCTGCAAATCGACATTTCCTTTTTTTAAAACAACCAAAATATACATTCAGCACCATGTCTACAAATTTTTCCATATGCCATACCTACAAAAAAATACGTTCCCAGGCCCTCCTAAAATGTTCTTCTTTGTTGTTAATTCTAGCCAACATGCGTTCATATGAAGCAACTTCTGACATTATTTCCATCCATTTTTTAACATCGGGGGCGACTGTACTCTTCCATGCTCTGAGAATTGTTCGAGCAGCTGTGACCATCCCAACTTTTAAAACCCCTTGTTCATATTTAGATATATTTGACATTTCTGTTTGGTCCCCTAACAAACACAGTCTTGGTGATACAGGTACCACCACACCCAGCCATTTACTCACATGTTCCAGTACTTTCTCCCAAAACGGGTAGACCAGT